CATCCATCCATCCATCCATCCATCCATCCATCCATCCATCCATCCATCGACATATATGGAATAAATACAGACATCGGATGTCACTAGGGCCTCCATCAATCAAAAACTGGACCCATCCACATACTAGTCGCAACGACACATAGACCACATAGGGTAATAGTTACAGAATGTTACAGACATTAGATGTCATTAGGGTCATAAATATAGATATAAATAGGGTAAACGGTAAATGTATGTGCTACTTCACTGGCCCTCAAATGAGGTGTCTCAGGTGACTCAGGTGGCTCCAAATCTGGAGAACTCACAATATATTCATATGTTTCATATGTGTGGTTCCTGACCTTCCAGCGCTCGCAGGGCCACACCATGCCACAGACGGTTCACCGTGGCAATGGATGCCACCGGTGTTTCTGCTTCGACCGCGTTTCCTCCGGGACCGAAGACTCGACCCGGGCGCGAAGCACTGAGCATCTCAGGACTATGTCTACTTTCAGAAGACGCCTTTGACGGTGGGACACTCACTGGTTCAGTCGCAGATTTGGCCTCGCGCAGCCGGATCAGATCACCGTGCAGTCTCTGGAGATCTGGTCTTGCGCTGAGTTTGGGCGAGCCGCGAAGCGAAGGAATTGGGGCGAACAAAAGGAACCTGCAGGGTGTCCACTGGGCTCAAGTGGAGACACCAAAGAATTGGCTGATACTAATCTTTAATTCCTTTCAACTTGGCTTGGTTCAGGTTGACTTGTTTGGGGGCAGGTTGTTTCAGATCCCTCATTCTAGAGTCTAGAGATTCTAGAGTGAATCTAGAATATAGAGTTACTCCCATTGATTACTGTAACTGACAGAGCAGTGTTTGGCAGAAATTTCAAGCAGGTTTTTTGACGTCGCTCAAGCGGCTCTTAAGTGGTGTGGCGACGGTGGCTGGTGGCAGGCACGAGACCTGTGTGGATATTGCAAGGATACATAATTCAGATTTTGAACAGGCAGTTTTCGAGGCTGTGCGATTTTTTCCCAGCTTTGGCACGGCTTTCAGTCTCTTTGACCCTGACCCTTTGGCGCGGACACGCCGGTGTCCGTTCCGTGAGGGGGCATGAAGGGGCCCTTTGTTTACATGGTTTACAGAATTGATTCTACAACATAAGTTCCTTTGTCCATGCATTACAGCAAGACGGAGAGACTGTTCAGACCGATACACCCGTGGATGGGTCTTACATGGCTCCCCGTGTGGAATTATTGCTCCGTAACAGTGACCCGCTTTGGCAATTTTGGCAGAGATCCCCAGTTTCTTTTTCTAACCTGTAGATGGCAGACATCGAATTATGAATCCAAAATAGGGATTCACGCATGGTTCGCATGTTTAGGTCATGTTTAGGCCTTGGGAAGATTCTGGTTGCTACAAATCAATGTGTTCAGTTGCAACCGCAAGTGCGGCAAAGGGGGAGAGGCAGAGAGTAGAACGTGCTGGGGCGGAGATGCACGTTTGGCCATTGCAAGGGTAACTTCAGACGCGAGTAACACATCCCATGGAAAGCAGCACAGCACATGAGTCACATGGGTTTTGAATACCAAATTTCAATGCAAAGGAGACATAACCATCAAAAAGAGAGAGCCAACACAACCCAGGAGGTGTTGAACAAATCATTCATAGCCTCAGGTCTGGTTGAAAGGCACATGCATAGTTATTTGCTTCGGACTTGTTTCGATCGGGATCCTCGCAGAACATTTCCATATGTTTTCGGTAATTGGCCGGTTTGCTTTGTGCTGTTTCCGATCCAGCTGTTTGAGGAAAAAGCCCTCTCCGAGAAGTGAGAGCATCTACAGTGTACAGTTATATGAGGCTTAAGAGCACCTAAGGACCTACCAACAGCTCCAAGTTTGTTGCTTGCTTTTGCAACATGTCGATTGAACTTGTCCTACCGTATCAAGATTATCAAGGCACCCCGTTCTTGGACTGCCGATAGATTCCCAACACTTTGCCCACGTGGTCACCTTTGCTGCTTATGTACCAACCAACAAAACAAACAAACAAGCAAGCAAGCGAGCGAGCGAGCAAACAAGCGAGCAAACAAACAAACAAACAAGAAACCGAACGTGCAACAAAGAGACACAACAGGCATTCCCATGTTGGAGGCTAAAACAGCCCCCAAAATGTATGTTCTGCTGTTGGCTGGACAGGCCGCATGAAAGTGAGTTTGCTGATACAAATGGTGTGAAATTGACAGGATAAATGGCCAGTGAATGTGTCCAATCTGGGAGTTCTCACGCGGGTGACCGGTTTGTTTTTACATGTGAGGAATACAAAGTTGTGTTTCTCAAAAGGGTCGACCGAATCTTCTTCTCTCAGTGCGCGGGAGCAAAGGCCACCGATAGAAGAGCCATGAAGAGCCCCAGAGCAAAGGCCAAGGTTTGTTAATTCGGGATTTTGGCTGTGTTGTGCGGCCCCTTTGGGGGCCCTGCAACACGGCGCATTCGTGTCGAAGGGCTCCAGTCCAGGGACGTCTCAGCAAATTGGTCTAGAAGGCACATGTTCTCCCAGTGAAGGCTGTAGGTCACTGTAGGTGGTTGGCACAATGGATGTTTATGATGTTTATGAGAGTGGGTCACTTACTTTGAACTCACTTCATGACCAACAACTGGCAAATGGATACGCGGGTGTATGAGGGTCAAACAATTGTTAAACTGCATCGGAGCATCCAACCTCACTTGCTGGGGTAAGAATGTTGAATCATAATCATACTCGTACTCTCTAGATCTTGGCCTGGGTGATTCTGCAAGATCTGCAAGTGATATTCTCCGGTAGCCCTGATACAGCCCTTGGGCGCAGCTTGCTTACTTTGCACCGTTGGCTCGCGCGGCAAGGGTCGGGCCAGCGATGGGCTGTGAGTGGAGAGGGCTTTTTAATAAACCACTTCTCCGCACATCGTGAATTCACTAGAGCGACTGAGCCTATGAACCTGTCGCAGCGACAGGTTGGCTTTGCCGTGCGGCCCCTCCATGACCGGCGTGCCCCGGTGTTGGTAGATAGTATGTTTTTTTGTTGTTTTTAAGTGTAGATCACTGGATGGGCTGGTTATGGCTGGTTGGTGTTTGTGCCAAAGTCCTTGGAAAGAGCCAGAGCGAAAAGCACATGCTGTTGGAGTCTGGTGCATTGATTGATTCGTAGGATTTTGTCCGTACCTGCACCTCTTGTGGACCGTGTTGGTGTAGTTATGTTAGTATAGCATAGTCTAGCGACTATCTCAACTATGCCATCGAATCATGCAGTAAACACCGGATTAATAAACCTGCCCTCCTTCAAGGTCAACAAGGTTTGAGATTGGAGGTATTGGAGACCACATCCCCTTATTATAAGTGATGACCTGATGATGGATGATGGTTGATAGGATTCTGTGTGAACACTGAGGCCTGTGAGAGCGGTACCCTTTGTGAGATTGAAGCGGTTAAGATTTTGATAGTTTTAATAAGGGGAAACTGACAGAATTTTCTAGAGATGTTTTTAGGCATCTTGGAACAAAGATTGCCGGGGAGAACATTGGCAGCTTAGATTGCAGCTTTAAACAATATACTAATGAATTACTCGTTTTCTGGGGCAGCTGGGCTTGATTAATAGGGGGTGGTTACTCAATCCTGTGTCAACATCACATATGATGTGATACCCAATGGTTTTTGCAACTGTTCTGATTTCTTTGGATTGACCCACGTGGGGTATCATCATGTGGGTAGTCGTGCCTTCATGAGCCTGCGTTGTTGATCGTCAAATTACGGTTGCAAGGAATCTGACAGCGAAAAGCAGCTTCACAGGTCATGAGTTTTGCGCTGTTTCGTTTCCTAACTTGCTTCCGTTATGTATGTATGTGATTTGGGCACGCGTGATGCGCAAAGTTCCCATGACTCAACCTACACTTGGACCTACATGGACCTACCGTGAAAATCACACAAAGACAAACGCCACGCCTGTTTCGAGCACCCTTTTGGAACACCCTACACCTTGGTGGAGGATGGGAGAGTCCGCGACATTGTTTGACAAAGGCGGTATTGATGTGCTTCATATATAAAACAATTGATAGTGGCTCTTTTGCTTTTGGGGGTGTCCCATGACCTGTACCAGTCGGTCAACAATGATCACGTCCATCATCCACTCGGTAAACAGCACTAATACTCGCACGGCGATGTCTGGACGAGCTGTGCATGGCTACTGTTTGACACACGGGCTACTGTTTGACACACTTTCAAGTCATGGTTCTGGTTGGTTTGATTGGTTATGGTTGGTTATGACACCATGACTTTCTAAAACTGGTTATGGTTGTGGTTGGTTTGATGAAAATGCATGTGTGTTGGTGCGACAAATTGATGCCGGGAAACGGGGCACCGCGGATGAGTCGCGTACAATAATTGCATGAGCCTGGAAAGGAAGAAGAAGCCAGTCAGCAGCCAATCAATTGGGATGTGTATTCTTTGGGGCTTGGGAATGGCCACCGCACTCTCGAGCCCCAATCCATGAGGTGGATGGTGAACCATGGTGATCCCCATTTTGGATACCTGTTCAACGAAGGCCATTGTGGTACTGGATGTTTTGTTACGATATGGTAGGATCCTTGTTGAATCTTGTTGAGATTGTCTGAAACGGATTTTGTCAAGCTTTCTTAGTTGGTGTTGGTGCATTGCTGCATTCATCATGGCTACCTCACATGTGTCAAATATCAGATCGTAGGTGGAAGCTAGGTGCATGGCAATGAAGTGCTCATCCTCCTGCGGTAGACCACCACCCTTTCAGAGAAGCCTTTTGCACACCCAAGTGATGTGGCGGACCGTTTGGCTTTTGTGATCGGTGCGTGGCATAACGTGACGCACCGTCCGAATGGGTTGGCAGCGCTGCCAAGCAAAAAAGTGACGCACATCTCATCGCACCTCATTGTGCGGACTCTGTTTTGGCTTGAGGAAGTTGAGGTGTTGGAAGAGAAAGCTTGTGGAGGCACTTGAGAACTGATGGACCAAATGCCACAAAAGTGCTGTCCATTCTTGGGTCCCAATGGCAACCACTCGCAGAACTCATGAGGTATCATGAGGTTATGATTTAAATTTTGTTGCACCTGTTGTGTATTTCGGAGAATTGGTTTGCTTAAATTTGCATTATGTTGCATTTACCATCCAAAAAGGACGGGTCGTTTACGATTGTCCGCTATCCACAATCATTTGAATGTCGCCTTAGTTTTGTTGACCCATCACGGCCACGGCTCCTCACCAGTCACACGAACGGTCCTGACGAGCATGGCGTTTGTCCCGACAAGTCCGTCAGTCCTGACGGCCGATCATGTTCTTCAATCGGCAAGCCGAAAGCTTCACTAATTAAGTCAAAGGCCAACCCTGGGCGTTTTGTGCATAGAATCAGACCCAAGATGGCACCAGGATCGAAAGTCGATCGGAAGTAGTTCATGTCCCAACACTGATGTCCTACAGTTCATTTTGGCATTCCCATGTGTCCCGCATTGGTATTCCAGGAGCTCCCTGATGTGCTGATCCCCAGTGGTGCCTCCCTGCTGGAAGGCGGACTTTTGTTGGGTCGGGGACTTGTGCCAGCACAGACCAAAGTACACGCATATATATCTGTCTCTCTCTATATGTATACATAATATATATGAGTATTACATATCATATAGTGGCACAGGGATTTTCCATGGGGAAAGCACCCATTTTGATGTCAACCATGGCAATGTATATAATGTTATATATGCGTTCAGATGACCTGTGCTGTGGGCTTCATTTGTTGCTGGAAGATTGGAACAGGTTGGAACTCCGCTGCCCCCATGCACTGTCGTGAGCACGAATTCTCATTGACAGCAGTTTTCATGAACACCTGTGTCTTGAAGTGCTTAATTTATTTTGGTCATACTGGGGTACACGGGTAGCTCCTGTAGCATTCACCAATAGATGACGATGATGACGAGATTGGATGCTCAAACTGCATGTTCATGGTGGAGACTCTATGCACAGGGTTTCGGAAACTGCACCCTTGTCGTATCAGAACAGTCCCCAGGCTCATCCGAAGATGCATATGGGAACTACTGGTACCTCCACAAATGAAAGCAGCCATCACCGCAATCAATCATAAATCTCCCTGCTGCGGGTGTCAAGTTTGGAGGCTTGCGCCTGCTGCTGGTCCATCACCTGCGCAGCAGCGCGGGCAGCGCGCCCTCGCGGCATGTGATGGGTGGGCAGTGGGACAATGTGGGACATGCCTGCGGCCAAGATCCACTCAAGACAGATGTGTGGGTGGTTCACCTGCTCCGGTGTTGTAGCCGGATATGACGACATAGCTGGCATCAGCTGTGATAAATTCAGGTTGTGGCTACAGTTTGCTTGGGGAGTGGGTGTAGTTCTTTGCATGGGTCACAAAATGTAAAGTGGCAATCCTTGAGTTTTTTGCTCCAGTTTGATTTATCAGGACCAGAAAACCATACAGAACCACACAGTAGTGCCCCTGTTTTCACCCGGTGGCCTTTGTCAGCGACCCCGATTCGGTTTGAGGATCAGATCAACTTGACGGCCGGCCAAGCGGAGCTCTTGGAACACCACCTGGAACGGCTCTCCTCGTGGCTCGGTTGAACACCGCGTGAGCGAGTCGACGAGGCCCGAAGCATTGAACAATGGTCTTCGTACCTGGGGCTTTGGGTTAGTCAGTCCACCACATTCCACATATATGTTTAACACACATGTTGCATCTACATGGGGGGCAGAGAGATAGAGAGAGAGAGAGAGACAGAGACCCAGCGGTTTTGGTTCAAATCGAATCCCTTCACAACGGTCCAGGGCGTCGCGAACTGGAGAGTTGCGAGGCAGACCCTGGGTGAAGAAGTATGCGTGCATGGCCTTTGTTAACACATGCTGCTCATCTTTGAGTAGTTGTGAAGCAAGCAACTCATGGGCCAGAGGCAAAAATCCCTGGGCTTAACACATCCCATTGGGGCAATCTTCAAAAGCTCAGACGGATTTCGTTGGCCTTTTCGTTGGATTTGGCGGCTGTATGTGGCTGTCCCTTGACAGATCCTTTGCGACCCAGTGAGGCACCCTTGGCGATCCATGGTTTTGTTTGGGTGCTCAAAATGATCGTTAAGGACGGAAGGCATCACATCCAGGATCCCTATTGATTCAGCAGGGGTGCGGGATTTCAGGACCTACTGGGTCAGAGTCCGGGTTTCAATTTCTGTGTATTCACCACAGGGAGTCAATCAGCGGCTTTGGCACCCCAGGTATGCGCAAAAGATCGTCGGGGAGCTCAGGGCAGAGAGTTTTTGGTTCTCTTAGTTCCCCAAAATCCTGTGGCCTAAGATAGCTAAAACAAACAAATTGCGGCCTGCGCGCAAACACACATTACTAATCAATCATTTCTAAACGGCCTGACGGCTGTTAAGAATGCCACTCAACTCAGAGAACCGGACGTCATTTATTCAAAGCCCAGAGCCCTTTTGCAGTTCCATCCATTTTGTCCGGTCGGTTCTACCACCACTGTGGGCCTCATCGAGGTGCATACCTTGGCCTTCGCCACGCGGTTCCTTCCCCAGGACCGGAGCGAAGGTGGGCATTGTTCATGACATTTTATGCTTGGACTCGATCGGCATCTTGAGTTTTCTATATATGCATGGATTTTCTTGGTTTTCTGCGAAAGCGAAAGCGAAAGCTCATAGCCAGACAGATACGGGGAGAGAGAGAGAGAGGGAGGGAGGGAGGGAGGGAGGGAGGGAGAGGGGGAGGGAGAGGGAGGGAGGGAGGGAGGGAGGGAGTGAGTGAGTGAGTGAGTGAGTGAGTGAGTGAGTGAGTGATTGAGAGCCCATAGCCATGAGGAAGTACCACTTGGATCCTTCGACCGCAAGCCGACCCGGCGCCATCCCCGGCGCCATCCCCGGCGCCATCCGTCCGGCGGGTGGGCCAGGTGACAGAGAAGCTCACGAGGTCGAGGTGAGGAGTGAAGTGTCCAGAGGCGAGGATGGAGGGATGACACGACCATGTCGTGTTCTGTCAGAAAGCAAACGAAAGCAAGGGCAACGGAATGAAGACCAGTCTTGTCACCTCCATGTCGCGTAAGCTGATGTAAGCATGTCGTGTAGGCTGTGTTTGTTTAGACTCTTTTGAGAGCAAGCTTTTTCACGGCAAAGGAGCTTCCTGCATGGAGCGGTGTTACATTGGGGACCTGGTTGAGCTGCCAAGAAGTGTCCACTTCCTGTACCGGTGTCTTTTTTCACGTGTCCGGCATGGTAGCCAGTGCCGTTGCCTTGTCACTTGGGCAATATACCCTGGAAGCCACCAGCCAGAATGAAGAGACCGGTCCAGGGACTTCTTTCCACGCGGTTTGGATTCTTCCAGCTTTGTGACAAACACCATTCTTCTCAACCAGCACTTGGACTTGCACCGGATTGGGAGCATGCCATGGTACCGAATCTCGGAGTTGAACTGTAGATGCCATGCATTGCCAAACTCCCCATCCACCTGAAAGAGGCAGTGTTTTCCAAGGCTTGAACTGTTCGTGGTGCCACTTTGATTTCTGTAGCAACCTACATTCCAAGCACTCCAGCCGGGAAGTGCAGTTCCACGACACCCTTCCATGAGCATCCTGTTTTTTAACTTTTCCCATCCCCGCAGATCGGTCGTGGTCATGGAGTGCCTGGGGGCCTGGGGGCCCCGATGCAGGAGGTGCTTCCGATCCACGTCCCCAGCACGACGTGGACGTGAAGGTGGCAGCGGCCCCCAAGCGGTCCACCTTGCGCTTGAAGGTGGGGTAGGAACGGAGGATTCCGGAGCTGGTGCTTTTCCCATCCGTGGAGGTGACTCCAAACCCAGCGGGGGTTGTCAAATGCTGTCAAGTTGCATGAGCCTGATTTGTTCTGACCAGAAGGGACAACAGAATTTTCTGGCGTTTCTGTGGGGGCCAGTCGCTCAGATATTGAGACCAAGGCCTCAGACATTCCTTTGTTGGTTGAAGGCTGCTTTGGCTGTCAGTCACGAAAAATATGCAGCAGAAAGGCCCGAGGAGGGGATGCATGTGGTTCACCATGGATTCACCATTGCAACAGCTCACCACACCTTTGTTAAAGGGACAGCAATAGGGACATGAGGTTTCAAGTGCAGACTGGAGAAACAACTCCCAGAGGTCCACTGTTGGTGTTTTTCCTGGCCGAGTGTCGCTCGGGCGCCAGGACCGAGAGCTGTTGCAGATCTACCGCGGCGCACAGATGGAGGTCGTGACTGGGCGGGTAGATCAATGAGGACTGATGTAACTTGAGGACCCACCAACTGATGGCCGAAGAATGCTCTAAGGAGTTTGTGAGTGCGTGTCCTTTTCCGTTGTTTTTATTCTTCGGGATGTGACCCTACCACCCACCCTTTTGACCACAAGGAGAGCGGGTTTTTGTTGCCTTCCATTTTGTTTGTGAGGGTCAGGCACCTATCCACTCTCAGAATTGGGATGAGTTGAGCATCAGGCACCTGCTGTATAGACCCTTGGGTACAATTGCCCTGGTTGGCGTTGTGACACCTGCAAACCACGGCCATACAAACAGGTTGGCATGAGTTGGTGGTTTCGGTATGCCCAGCAGCAAACTTTTGCAATATAACATGGATACTGGATAATCCAAACAACCCCTACCAGAACCATCCGAACATGTGTGAGTTTGCTGGTATGTAATCTGTCCTGTTGCTGATTATATAGCCTGGGGAAACCAGATTCTGTCTCTCCGTAGTTCTCCTCGATGTGGTCAGGCATGTCTTGAAGCCGACTGGCGTGGCTTGGTCACACCGCGCACCACCGCTCGAAGCGACATGAGCCACTTGGAAGCAAAGCTTAGATTCCATTTTTGTCCCAGATTTTATGGGTTTGTCCGTGGCCTCACTCCTCAATGATGGGTTGTTCCATTCCGTATCACACCCGGATATTCTCCATGCGGATCGCGACCAGGTGTCACCCAACGCATCCCAACACGAAGCATGCTCAGAAGTTCCCAGCAAAGCAACAAGGATAAGAACCCCACCATTAAAAGAACCAAGGCAACCATTTCCATGATGGGAGCATGGTATGCCACGAAGCTCCTGAAAGTCGAGGGAAGCAGCCCGATCACCCACCCTCCGCCGCGGGCCCAGAAGATCCCAGATTCCAAGGAGTTTCCAAGGATCCCTTCCCTGGTTCATTTGTGCGTCAACCCCTGCAATGCTTCATTTGAGGCCTCTACAGCGACAGCTCCACACGGCCGGAGTCTCTCACAGGCGCGTGCGACATCACCTGCGGGCAGCTCCTGTGTGGGTGATGCAGGGCACATGTTGACTTGAGAAATGTGCGAAGTTAGCGACCGGAGGATCTTGGAGGATTTCACCTGCGAATTCTATTAAACAATTGGCATGAAGATGAAGATGCAAGCCGGACGTCGCCCAATGCAACTCATCCGCTACATCAGTGCCCAGCGGACCGCGCACCGAGTCGCGCACCGTCCAGGTGACGACCGCGCGCGAGTGCTGCGGACCTTGTCGGAGGCCATGCGCGCGCCCGGGCGGACGCCCTCGGTGCTGGCGGCGGAGATCGCCCGGGTTGCCCAGCGACGTGCGGTTTCACGGAGAGGCACCAGAGAGAGGTGTGAGGGACAGACGTGAGGGAGATATATAGGGGAAACAGATATATATTGATACATGATTGATGGTTTATGATTTATATATATATATATTTATATATTGAGGGATATATGATATATATATATATACAACTGTATGAAGGAACAAGACGGGACATATTCAATGGTGATGGATCATCAATGATGTGACTGTAGATGTATACATATATACGTAGTGATTCTATGTTTTTTATTTTTTTTTGCTTGCATCATGTTGAAAGCCCAGAAGTTGACGTGAGGGAGTTGTATAAACTCATACGCACTATATTATATAATATATTAGGTTCGTGGGAACCTCCGAATGAAGTCCACAATCATCCCTCTCGTCGTGTGTGAATATCACAGTTTCATCACAGTTTCATAAGGTCTTTTACTACGCTCTCTTTCCGGCTTGGTCCAGGATTGTGGATTGCCTTACCCCGCAACTGTCCCTTTTGCACATTGCAGTTTTCTTGGCTCCAGTTCCGCCCTGATCGATCAACCATACGACATGGCTCCCCAACCATACGGCCTTGCCCTTGTGCTGCTTCATGCAGTGGTGGCACAGGAACGGCGCTTTGCAAATCGTATTGGGGGCTTTGGGACATCCCGGCATCCCCCGGGCGGTTTGTATGTATCCCTTAAACCATCCGAAACCACTTCAAACTATAGGCTTCCCTGGGTGAGGCCCTCAATAGCATCATTAGGTTATATAAGTTGCACCACTCTATGTTTCTCCGATTCTCCTGCTATCCCCGCAGGACTCCGTGCCAGCCTTGCGCGGCGTCGACCGATTTGCCTCTCGTGCCTTGAACGAGCTGCCGAGCTGCGAGGGGAAGCCGAACTTCCAACGCGCCTGAGGCGTACGGCTACGCGTGGGGCGTACGGCGTGGACGGGACATGGAGGTTGGATTATTTGGACTTTGCATTTGCATGTCATCGGTGTGGCATAAACATCAGGATTGCGGGTGGCCCATCAGATTCCTCCACCATCCTCCTTCCCCAGCGGGAGTGGCATGGAATCCAACGATCCTCGCATTTTTGGCCTTAGAGTCTTCGTTTCATAGTAGCATTCTGGAGATCCCCCGGAGGATCCTTGGAATTGGTGTGGCGATGTTCTGGGATTTGTGGAAATGACACGTCCCATGATTGAACTTCCTCCTTCATTGCAACGTTCTTTTCCAGGTGCCTCCCCTTTTTGGAGTCAGCGAGGTATAGGACAGACTCCTGGCAGGCTCATGGTGTGGGCAGCAGCTTGAGCCGGTTGCATGCTTTAAGGAGGCTTGGCGCGGCGGCGGCGAGCGTTGCGAACCAACGGGGGGTGCTGCTTGCAGATGAGTCAGCTGTCGGCTGAGTCTGGCGGTTTTGGGAAGCCCGACTTTGGAGAACCTCCACCAGAGGATTTGATGACCGGTTCAACTGGTTTTGGTGCTTCCCCTGGTCGGCTGGTAGACTGTTGGGGACATATCCGGAGATGGCCTTTTGAGACTGAGAGGCTGAGGCCATTTTTCTACGTTTATCTCAACTTCATGTCCCCCCTGGAGGAGAGCAACGCGAATCCCATTTGGGATTGCCACTTGCAGCTGGATGCATCCTGCTCCTTTGGCGCCTCCAAATGTGCTTGGCCCCTTGGGATTGATGCCGAAGGAGGCGCAGCTGTGGCGCCAGCGAGGCAGACATCAGGTGGGCGAGCTGGGATGGTTTGGGATCCCTGGTATTTGGATGGATGGGATGAGGGGAGCAAGATGGAACAAGTATGTCGTTTCACTGTATCATGGTACCCGTAACATTTGGTTCTCATATGTTTTTAATACCTATAGCATCCTATAGCCTTTTCTTGGGCAGACATTTGTGCCTATTATGGGTAAAGGCGGCTTTGCCCGTGCTTGGGCATTCTTGTCCTTTTGGTATCTTTTGGTGGCCTTGCTGAAATAGATGAGGATCCACCCACCACTGATTCCAGTAACTTTCATAGTGAGGTACATTTGTTTGTCATGAATTCACTTAATGTTCCTCTTGTGATCTCTTTGGTATGTTTTTAGTTTTTCTATGCATTGAGTAGGTGTTCTTCCCGTCACTTTGGCGTTCTTACCCGTTACTTGGGCGTTCTTGCCCATTACTTAGGCGTTCTTGCCCGTTCCCCCCTCACTACAATCAGTAGTTGGGTGGACAACGGAATGGTAGCCTTTTAGGGGGGAGTGAGCGACATGAGTTTCAATTACTTTAGACTGGGGATTAGCGTCAAGTGGCAGGCGTTTGTTTTCTCAATTTGTTTCATTCAAATTCTGGCTCTGCCTCCTGCATGTATGAATGCATGTGATTGTGCCTCGGCGTTTTTGACCCTCGAGGCTGTAGCTTAGGCGTTCTTTGCAAAAACGGGCTGAATTGTTTGTCTCAATGGCGTTGGGCGGAATTTATATATTGCCTAACGAGGTTCTAGGTATATATATATATTATATAGCTTTGAATATGTTTCAGACAATGTTGATAGTGTGAAACGTCTTGCAAACGGCATCGTTTTCATCCGTGCAGACGCTGCGTCGGCTTGGGGAGGTGTCAAGCATCACATTATGGTAACGAGATGTGACGAGTCGTGTCGGTGGGATTTGTCACATCTTGGAAGGCTCGAGCGTGGGAGAGCCGACCCGCTTTGTCACCTGGAACTTGTATGTCTTCACCTTGGCCGGGCGCATCCAGCCCGTGGTGGACGAGCTCATGCGCCCCTTGGGCGGAAGTCGGGGCTGGGGGTGGTTGGAGCGAAAGCAGGGCCTGTTGGATGCTAAGGGGTAGTTTAATGAGCGGACACCGCCTCAACCGTTCGAGGAGGGCATGGATCTTCCTGTCACAGGTGTTCAGCGGAGTCCAATTTAAGAATGGAATCCACTGACTTCCGACTTTCACTCACAAGGCCGAGCAATATTTTTCACATGAATCCACAGAGACCTTGGAAGACTATGCAATTCACCTGTGAGTTTCCAGGGGCCAAGTAATTAATCACGAAAGGTAGCCCCTAAGGGGATACCTAGAGTTTGTCTTGCGAAGCAAGTGTCGGCGCGTCCGGGTCTAATAATTGATAGTTCAATTCAACCCCCCCCCTTCGAATTGATTTCTCAATACAGACCCCCCCTCCCGCCCTCCGGGGAATTGATTTTTCAATACCGAGCCCCCTCCCTCTAAATTCAATTCTCTCGTGGAGAACGTCTTCGTGAGCCTCTCATGATTTCAGGATAGTTGAAACCCTCTTGAACATTCAGAAAGAGTACATATGAAATTCTAATCACGAAAGGTGTTCCCCAAGGGGATACATACCTAGAGTTTGTTTTGTGAAGCATGTCAATTCTCTCCTGGGTAACGTCTTCGTGAGCCTCTTATGGTTTCAGGATAGTTCAAATCCTATGATGCTCCGATTCAATGCTCACCGATGATCTGAGCCATGGGGCAAGTTTGTTTTCCTAAGAATCCTTGTGAACATTTCGAGAGCATATGTTTGAACAGTTAGAGTGCATATGAAATTATATTTACGAAAGGTCGCCTCCGAGGGGATAAATTACCATGTCGAACATTGCATTTTTGTTCCTGCCTCTCGCGTTCTCTTCTCTTCCCGCTGTCCTACCTTTCGTGTCTCCCTCCTCTCAAGTATTGTTTTCCCCAAGAGCTAGACACAGCTTCAACAAGTTGGACACGACCACCGTCCTGCTCGCTCCCCGGTCCGCAACCCGACCGGACCGGGTCAAGGCATGCAGCCTGAGATCGCGGCGATTCCGGAGATGTGGCACGAGAAGCACGCGATCTTGGAGCGCTTGAACCAGGTCTCAGGGAACAAGTGCCTGGGTGCCACCAGGGCCGTTTGTGGGAGGGCGAGGTGACAGGGGGGTGTTGGCTAGCAGAGTTTTGTTTGGCCTTGGTGAGTTGCTGGCCATCTGGTTCCGGGCTTTTCTAGTTAAACTCCAGTGGGTCAGGCGCTCCAGGTGGCAAAGGAGGTTTGTCATTCATTTGTTCTGTTGTACATTTTTTTGATGTGTTTTAAGGTGTTCCAGTGTTCCCTGGTAGTGTAATATGATACCAAGTTACTAGGGCTTTGCTGGCGCCAAGATTCCTCAAGGGACATAGTCAACTCAGTTGACGATTCGCAGTGTGATCCATTGTGATCCATGATCCAAAGGTTTCAGTGTTTTCTGGGAGGGAGGGGAACGTTGCAGGGATACTCTGCATAAGGGAATCACTCCACATCCCAACCCCCTTCCGGTTGAACATGTTGTTCCTTGAGTTCAGGTGGTGCCCTTTGTTTTGAACAGGTGTTCTTTGCTCAGGAGCCGCAGCCTTGCTTGCACCCTGCCCACCCGCCCCAGATGGGAGCTGTGGTGAAATGCGCGAAGCCTTACAAATGTATCCCACCATCCCAGGGATGGTTATCTAGGGGACCAGGGTTGGTGCCAGGTCTGAGGTGCCCCCAGCCTGGCACCACCCCTTGGAGTTGTCGCCAAAAACCGCGAACTGCTTTGGGGAAGAGGGGGTTTGGGCTAGGAGTGATGGCTGCGATCTTAAAATCAGGATCATGAAACATTGGGCGCATCCTATTCCATCCTATTCCCTTGAAGCAAGATGCGCAGAAATGGTTACTGCGACCTACGAACGTCCTCATACTGCTTACTTGCTTGCCATCGTTGAATCCTCAGCTTTTTTTCTGGGGCACATGATCGGCACATGCCGCAGTCCAAGGGCGTTCGCCCTGGAACCGCAGGTATGCATTCGCCACAGGTGGTGCCACTGAACCCCAGCTGAAACGGGCGGGAGCATGGGGTCAAGGGGGAATCCATATGGGAATCCTTATATGTTGAACACCCCATTCAACACATGGAAATCCATGGAAATCCTATATGAAGTCTTGCATTCTTGCATCTGTGAGCCGATGAGAAGACCAGGTCTTTGCTTTTTCAGACGTCTCAGATGTGAAACAAAAATCCAAACGTGGCATGCACCATCTGTAAAACGAAGGGGTCCTGTGGAGCTGTGGAATTGCCCTGGGTATCCTGGGCCAAGGTAGAGAAAGCAAATCACATGAAAATCACCCAAAACAGCTGAAGCCGATCAAACCGCAATATATAATATATAATGACCCTTAAAACGTGCGAATCGCATGAAATCACGTGAAAAACAAACAAGAAAGGTCAGCGGAAACACCCACCCCCTTAAGTTTTGGTCACCCCAAATCACAGCCCATAGATTTCAGTGAGCCGGGTGAAACGGTGAAAAACATAAAAACCACCAGGTTTTTCAGAAGTGACCAAAAGTGCAGGGAAAGAAGTATCAAGCAGTGGTGAATTCATCACAGGGGTGAAATCATGGCAGGCAAAAAAGGGGGGAACCTTCGGTTTGGACTGGCATGGACCCAGAAAAATTGATCACGCGGAGATATGAACTGGACCCGAACTGGATCCCCAAAATACTTCTCAAAGTTAGTACAGTGTGCACCATGATATAGATGTGTTTTGCAATTTTACACCTAGCACTGCGCATGCTTGAGAGGCTCTTCTACTTGTGCGGAATTTGGGACCACACCAGTTGCCCTATATAATTCCGAGTTCGGCTCGTTCAGCCCCTTCGGCTCGTTCATCCCGGCCAGGAGCAGTTCAACGACGCGGACATCCTGTTCCGCGCTGACAAGTGGGACCCTTGGCGGCATTTCACACGCGCAAAAAATATGGAAAGGGGTGGATCAAATGTCCATCACCAAAGAAAATCATGTGGATCGTTTTGTTTTGAGGGTCTTGTTTTTGCGGCGTCCGTGCCATGGTTGACCATGGTGTCGGTGCAGGAAGACGACTCCAGGCCACTGTAGGGTCACAACAGGGGCCCCTATTATTAAATTGTTTGGAACATAGTGCATTCACAATGCGGAGCAAGGACTTCAGGTGGTTGCGAATTAGGAAGGCTTAGTCCATCAACAGTAACTATATGAGGCCTTACTACAGAATTGATTCAACAGATCAGCTTACTGCTTACTGTAGGCGCAGAGTCCCAGGACTCAGGACCAAAGGTTGACAAGCACTTGAAAAGAACAGAAAGCAATAGAACCCCCCCAAAAAGAGAAAATCAATATCAATAGGAACATCATAAGTGAAGAGTGATTAGTGAAACATAGTGAAACAATCGATGTCAATCACTCTTGATTTCAACACACCTCCAACACCTTCAAATCCATTCGCTTCACTTCGCTTCCATCCCCCAGGAGCACCTGCAATCCGACCTGGTGCCCTTCTCCGCCGGCCGCGCCGTGAACTGGGCGGCGCTGCGCCGGAAGTCCGCCGCACGGCCGGAAGGACCGAAAGGTGGACCGAGGCCATTCATGGACACTAAGATCATTCATGCCAAGCGTTTCTCTCTCTCCCATGGGTAGACCAAGTGTCCATGGATCAGTGACCATTCTTGGGAGCCACTGTCGGTACAGTCACGATCTTTGGAGTTTGCTACATGCTGAAGAACCAGCAACTCTTCATAACTCTTCCATTGTTGTGGTGGATCCTGTATACTAACTTTCTTGAGTTATGTTTCTTTTCTTCCGACATCAGTGGTCAACTTTGATTTCTCCATCCGCCAAGGATGGGAAAACCCTTTTGGCCGCAGGCACGGTGTTTCCGGGCCGGTGGCACGGTGGCCACCGAACTAAGACATGCGAACGGGCATACAAATCAGGAGAGAGATGCGCAGGCAGAGCGCAGAGAAGAATCGCATGCTGTGACAGGCTTGCACCAAGCTTGGTTCTTTACCAATATATGTACTGTAGAATGTATACATACCCGGGCACCATTGTGGACAGCGGGGATGTTTTTTTCAAAACCCCTGGTCGCCCACTCGGAAGCACGTGATTCCCGCGATTCGCGCGTCGGCAACAACGCTCACCGCCGCAGTCGGAGCAGCAATCGGTCAAATCGGTCCTTTGTTGACGAACAGGTACGCACCCACTCTGCTGCCAGGGTGACTATGTGGTCATGGAAGCCGTAGACTTTGTAATTCGTGCCTTGGACTTAGCGAATTAGGGCAGCTACGGCGGGTGGTGATGGGATATGAGTGTGGTCTTGACGGTCTTGAGCCAAGGAACATGACATTAAACATACAGGACTATAAGGGTCAGGATCCTTACTTAAGTTCAGTGGTAAACGACAAATTATGGCTGGTGTATTTAGATTAGAGCAGTTGGACTGGGAAGGATTGTAGTGGCACTTCGATGGCCATGTGTTTCCTTCGATTCGCAGGCCGCGTCGAAGCTTGCAGCTTTTGGTTCACTCGTGTGTGAGACCAACATGCCATGAATCTGAATGAGAGGCGCCCGTTTGACATCTTTGTCTATTGGAAGCATGGTTGGCCGAAAGTTGACAGGGACGGTTTGTTTGCTTTTGCTGTCGGGCCCCGTGAGTCATGTTCTTTCTTCGATCATTGGCCAAACTGCTCAGTTGGGCGACAGGGCGGCACACAATTTTTATAATACATGTCATTATATAAATAATAATTACATATCACTTAAAGTATCCCAACTCCAAAGTTGACAACTATGGAACACTGTGTTTCTTTGGTGCCACAACAGGGAGGTAACTACCTGGACCATCCAATGGGTGTCCTGGCTGGAGATCCCAAAGTAGTGCAGGGTAGTCCAGCCAGGACACCCATTGGATGGTCCAGGTATATAATCTTGATCATGTGGCCATGGCCATGTGAAGCATGTCCCATTCCACGGAGGAGCATCTCTCAGTTCCCCCACCTCGTGCGCCGGAGAGGCACCCTGGGCGACGTGCAGAAGCGTCATCCGTATCCGATTGTTTCTTGGAGTGGGAGGGCCAAATGTATTTTACGGTTTGTATCAATGATGTATATATAGAGCCCAGATGAAGAACATTTAAAGCATCATAAAACATCATGAAACACCTGTATGGGGACTTCTCTACGCTTTGGGTTCAATGTTTGTTGCTTGTTGGCGCAGTGACAGCTATGGCTTAGTGCCCTAGTTGAATACGTACTGCCGGGAGAACTGCTGAAGAGGATGTGTCCAAAACATTGTTTAAATATAGGATGTCATGTCGGATCGTTATGATATCGCCGCCAGCGGGTTCCCGATTGAAATTTCTTGGTTGTGTGGGCTTTTGCGGTTGTATTCGCACAATATCGCACATGGTGCCTTTGATGTTTGGTCGACCAGATGCTCAAGATTGTGAGTGAAATCACCTACGGTCCCACTTGTGCATTATCGATCATATAGCTATTGGCTAGACAAGCAAATCCCCCGGTACATGCTGCAATAAAAGTCGTTCCATATATATACAGCCTCAAAGATTTCGATGGTGGCAATTTTGCGATGAGAATCGCGACACAGAACATATGTTTATATGGGTGATGGTCAATCCACATATGGAAGAGAGGCCATGAACAGAACCATTGTTTCATGGTTTTCGGTACGGGGGACAAATAAGTGCAACAAGTAGCTAGCTCTTGTGCTGAGTCGCAATAGCAAAATCGAGAAAAGACACATTTGTCCTTGTGACAATGACTATTTCCACTTGAGGGGTCGAACTCAGTGGACGCTAAACCGGCACCAAAGAAGCCAAGAAAGTAGACTGGCGCTCAGATCGAACAGATGGACGGGAGTGCCCGTATACCCTTGAATGATTTGATGACGAATGATGATGACTATTTCCCTGCTAGAGTCGAACAGCGAGAGTCCAGTTCTCCTTGCGGGGACCGAACCGCTAACCGAGCGTGAAATCTGAGCGATCTGAACTTTGTCGAAAGGCGGCCTCCAGAAGAAACCCACTCGTGTTCAGAGCCGAAGGCCACATACCGAAGGCCGTTGCGGCCTCGTACCATTCCATTTGATTATATATAAGTATACGTAATATACACTGTATCCTTCTTGAAGTGACCACCAAAGTCATCCTTTGCAGACTCGGCCATGTGGTGTTGCAGGTGTTTGGTGAACTTCGGAGATGCATCCAACATAAAACGATCTTCTTTAGCACCCCTTTCGGCACCGAGTCGCGTGCGGAACATGGTCGAGGTCCTCATGGGCGATTTGAACACCGGCTACTTCCAGCCCTCTCAGCAGCTCCTGAGGCATGGACATATGGACACTTGTCTCGCTGGCAGATGAATGTCTTTGGGGCGGACCTGCGTGGGCTGAGGGTGCGTAAAATGACAGGCTGACCGTGCCCAAGTCGGCTCTTTGTGGCCCGTCGGATGTCCAACAGGTGGTTTTTGGACACCCCTTGACCTCTAAGAGGCTATTTATGGACACCTCTTGGTGTCGGTCCTGGTACATGTCAGGACTGTATCGAGCAAGCTCAGCGCGCAGGTCTGACTCCCAGGAGTTAAGACACCGTCGGATTCGTGCGGCCGATTCTCGAGGGAGGGTGTACCACGAGGAAGGTCCCTGTTCTGAGAGAAGCACATCAGCCATGGAGGAGGTTTTCTTGTTTAAATGTTTTTTTGCCAGTTGCAGTCCTTTACCTTGGCGCCAGTTTCTTCCATGTGGGCCACATCATGTGGGTTTAGGGTTTAGGGTGCTTATACTCTTCACTTTTTTTGAAGAGTTGTTGATGGGATGAAGAAACACCACTTTGCATCTACGACCGTGAGAACAGATATTGACGGATGCTGGGATTGCTCAACATTCCTGGCTTGAGGATGCTCTCCATCATGGGTGTGGAGAGACTTGAGCTACATATAGAAGAACATTCTAACATAGTAGTCTATGACTGTTGGCTGTTCGACAAGCATAGTCGTTTGAAGAGCAAGACCGTTACATTGTGTAGCGGTGAGCATGCACCCTCATCCAAGTGCCTCGCGCTATCGCCGCCTTGCGGAGAGTCTCAGGATGCCTTTGGTCGACACTGGCAGATTCCCATGACTTTCACTGATGCTGGACAGCAGGAGAAAACGGTCTTGGAAGATCGCTCCTTCTAAACTCCAAGAGAGAAAGAGAGAGAGAGAGGGAGGGAGGGAGGGAGGGAGGGAGGGAGAGCCTCCGAGACTGGACCTAGCAGCGTTTTAGAAGGATGCTTTGAAGGAAGCAAGTTGTTTTTTTCCCTCCCTGGGCTTCAACCAATGCCGTCGCAGAGAAAACATGCAGCAACCATCAACAAGTAATCTAGGGGTGTGATTGCTCAACATGTGCCAAAATGTAGTGGGGGGGGTCTTCCGAAGTTCAAGCTCCCGAGGAGACGGATTACTGTTTTTCCTTTCGGGATGACGTGGGGCAGTACGTGGGGCATCGTTGGCAGTTTTTGGAGTCTTGGAGGTATGGAAAAGTTAGCCCACATTTTAGAGGGACTACCGAGAGAATTCGTAACGTTCATATTCACCAAATTCACCAAATACATTGGAAATGTCCAAAAGGTGCCGTAAGGCGAATCACTCTTTCATTGCTGTTCTGCCCCCTCTTGGGGTCAGTTACCAGGAGACCTTCCCCGGCCAAAGACAATATATATGGTTGTCGATCTAAAGGTCCTAGTCAGCAGTGTGTATGACGATGACCCGGAACATATCAAAATCTCATTTGGCGAAAGTTTTTTCTCGAGTTGGCGAAAGTAAATTATTTTTTGGCGAAAGATCTGGCGAAAGATTAAATATGTGCTTTTGTATGAATGTTCATTTGCTTTCTGAACAGCTGGTGGCAGTGACTCAGAAGCTAGATGAGCTGTGGAAGTTAGATAACCTGCTGCTGCTGCGGCTGCTACTACTACTACTACTACGACTACCACTACCACTACCACTACCACTACCTACCACTACCACTACCACTACCACTACTACTACTACTACTACCACTACGACTACTACGACTACTACGACTACTACTACTACTACTACTACTACTACTACTACTACACTACTACTACTACTACTACTATTCCTGCTCCTGCTTTGGGGGGTGGCTTTGCCACAAAACTCTACCCCGCAAAAGGCGAAAGTTTGGCGAAAGTTCAGCTCAAGATTGGCGAAAGTTCACCCTGCCACATCTGACCCCCAGCCCATTATGAGTAAGTTTGAGTGACCGGCTACTACAGTGATTCTTGCAATTTTGATTCTTGCTGACACCCAGGAGAAACAAAAGAGACGTACAGGGTGTCAACAGTTAAGTAGAAGACACATGCTGACAAACAGTGAAGTTTCTATTTTGTGTTTGCCAGTAAAGAAGAAGCCATTGACGTGGACAAAACACAACATACATGGCACACATAAATACAACGTACTTCGGCGAAAGATAAAACGCAGGAAGGCGAAAGTTTGGCGAAAGTAAATTTTTTTTGGGCGAAAATGACGGATCCCGGATAAAGGAATTTAGATCAACTCCCATATATTGTGGGGTAAAAAGTTCGTGAGAAACATTTTGATCTCTTTCTTCGTATCGCATACAATACGTATCACGTACTTGAAGACAACTAAGACTAACTAAGACTTTAAGACAACAGATAATCAAGACTTTCTACTCTGTTGAGGATTACGACTTTGACAAAACGGTGGTCTCCCAGTAAATCCAGAAGTCTTTAAGACTTGCAGCGTTGACATCCATGAGCACCCATAAATATTTCTCGTCCAGTCCTGCCAAGCTGCTAGGGGATGATTAGCGCACAGAGGACCACTCCAAAACTCTGACCAAAGAAGCAGTTCTGTGACCAACAGGTTTTTCTTCTCAGCCATTGAGCTCATCCTCAGGATGCCTGGGCAGAGCTTCACCCGGGGAACCCGGACCCCTCCACCATCAACAACGACCCGGTGCGCTTGGCTGCTTGGGATGAACCAAAAGCCCGTCGATGGAATTGCATGGAATCTGAGTCAAGTTGAGCTGCAGTTTGCACAACATCCGAGTTTCGAGTATTCTTTGCCTATCGGGGAATTGTATGGAACTACCTGGCACAAATGCGGTCTACTACGTAGGGTGGTACAGCCTCCTGCGTGGGCTGCCACCTAGCTGCAGTTCACGGGCCATCTCCAGGCCCAGGGCATCCGACAGGAAAAAATCCCAAGACTCACCTGGCTCAGTTGGAAAGTGATGAGGCCAGAGGAGGGAAGTTGACATATACCCGCCACCGCCACCCAAGAGGCAAGCCAATGCTCGGCATCATGAAGACATGCTTCCAGACAGTCATAAACTACAAAATCACATGCATCATACAACATGAATACAGACATACAATAGAGCAATTAATATGTGTATCTCTCTCTCTTGATGTATAGACACATTTCTAGATACACTTTCCACATTGCCCCCTTATGTGCCGAGAGCTACGGCTACTCACTCAGCAGTTCTTTGCTGGTGTCATGCAACGCAACCATCCCATGTGCACCTCATCTCATCCCACATCCCACCCCACATCAACCTGCATGGGCAATGCAAGTTGTTCTCCCCTGCAATTCCAGGCCCATGCCAAAAATGGACATGTCCATCTTCTACAGTAGAAGACGCCAAGGACGACGTCTCCTCCCGGACTACGTTCATCTCCTCTCATCCATCCCAAGGACTACGTCTACTTCCAGAAGACGCCTTTGCCCGTGGGCGATGCCATCGTCCAGTCGCAGATTTGGCCTCGGGCCGCCGGATCCGATCACCGCGCCGTGAGCGGCGACGTGGTCCTCCGCTGAGCCGGCGGGGTCCGGGGCCAAGCGAAATCAGAAACAAAGGTTTTCGCAGAGTCAGCGAGGTCCAAGAGAGTTGATGATTGGACCAAGTCGTGTGAGTTGGCTATAGTTGCCTCACTTCCCAAGTCATGTGGCTGTTCGATGGATGTTCAAGGACACGGTCCAACCAGGATCTGTGTAAACCCTCAAACCTCACCCCAACCCCAATAACATCAGTATAACTAAATAAAGAACATATTCAGTATAAATATATCCTCAAGGAAGTTCACTTCCCAATCGTTATAGCGGCACTGGAGCAAACATAGACACAAAGAATATACTTTTTTGCTCAGGGCCTCACGATGAAGTACAAGGTCGTCCTGACCTACCAGATGATTGATTTTGGCGGATGCCCCGAGAGAGAGACACTCACGAGTCTCCTCACGGCATCCGTGAATACCTTTGTCAGCAGGCAGGGTGATCAGATTTTGGCACCTGCCCGTGTAATTGATGCATGAATGCACTTGGTTGAAGTGTCCCGGTTTCTTCCCGCGAACCCATGGAGTGCTCCCGGTCTCTTTGGCACGAGTTAATCTCGCAAAAAAGCAGCACCTCACCCGCATGTTGGAAGTCCACCCGTTTTCCTTTGCTAGGTTGTTGCTATGTTAGCTCGGGGGGCACAATAAAGAAGTTCTTATTGGAAGGCCTTGGAGGCTTCATGGGGGCAGCCTTGTTGCCGCAATACATTTGCAACACCTCCTAGTGGGCCATGGCTCTGGGGGAATTCGGCCATTTTGTGCGTCCTCAACCTGCGTTGGATGCTCCACTTCACCCGATCTGGTGACCTGCGATGCAAGATGCATCGCCCTTCCAAGTCAATCTCAGCAACGCATTGAGACAAAACAGAGGCGACGCCATGTCATTCAGGGGTGTTGGAAGGATTTGGAAGGGGCCTTGCGGTTGGTGCCTTTGTCATCCTTTGTATTTTCCCCAGCACGGGAACTGCACTTTGTTGATGAAGGTGACATGAAATACTGTACAACGGTAGAAACTGTACCTGCAGCAGGAATGCATTCAATGTGAAACTATTAGCATGATTATCACTCATGATGTGAATATGAATGGACAACAACCTCAAATGAGGAATGAGTTCAGTTCAGGGAGAGTGCAGTCGCCATCGAGCTGCCCGGGCAGGTCATGGTCGCTTCCACAGAAGGATGTGATATATTCGACTTTTAGATATATAGATAACATCAGTTCATGAGGGTGTTTTTCTGGAAGACCAAGGCAGGCCTTTCGGGAAGGACTCCCGAAAGATTGCCATTCCCTTGGCGTAGGGAATCCAGAAAGGCGGCAGCTGGTCTTTTTGCACGTCCGAGCTCAAATGGTGGAGGGACGTCTCTCAAAGTGTATATATATAGTTTAGTTAGAGTTAGATGCAATTTCTGCGTGACATTCACCCAGTCTGCGAGTTGTGGGCTCCGGCGATCGTGGGTTTTGTTCGCTGAGGTTGAAACCTCCCAGGACACCGGCTGTGGATGCCAATCGCAGCCACGAACTGAGTCGCCAAAAGATGCCAGAGGGTCACAGTCCGTGACACCCACGCGGGTTGATCCACACCCAGCCGCCACACTCCCTGGAACTATCATGGTTACGTGCCAACAGGATGACCATTTTCCTCTACAAACCGGGGGTTAGTTGTCCACTTCCATGACTATTCCGGGGAGTGTCACAAGCCCAGTGACACGAAACGCTCATCCCGGAAAAAGCTCTCGAAACTGCCCTGGCCCGCAGAAGGTCTGCTGGGGCGTGACGGCCACTGTGAAGGGATCCCACCAGCCTTTGGAGCATGACCAGCCTGAAGAATCAAGACCTGGTCGTTTTTGGGCATGACCTGGCTCGACTCCGAAAGCGATCCACTCCGACAGACCTCGCATCGGGGAAAACCGACGTCTGTGCCGCGCCCTCCCAGGAAGGCCCGGGCGGCCCGAAAAGTGGCCGCGGCTGCCGGGATCGGTTGGCCCCAGCCTCCGCCCGATCCAGGTGGGTGAAGAGGGGCGTTCTGACCAGGGGATAGTGGGAAATCACCAGCAACACCCACAGGAAAAGGTTGGTTTGGCACTCTAGGTCCTAACCTCAATGTGTGTGTTTAATGATTGTTAGTATATAAGTGCATTTTTTGAATTCTGAGCTGGCATGGTTCCCGAAAAGAGTTGAAAGAGGGGCGTTTCCATGACTTGGTGTGGATGAAGTGGTGTATTTTTGGAGAAAGTGACAGCTGTGAATCAAGCACGGCAGCCTCTAAGGGGTGGGGATGGTGAAAGGTGTACCAGACATTTTGCCAAAAGCACTCCTACTGTACTACACCGCCTGAGATGCCCCACTGTAGACAATTGTGCACTCATCCCTGTCTCAGGTTGTTGACTTTTCTGGCCTTTGCTCTTCACTTTTTGGGGCCAGACTCTTTGACCAACATGATCCACATCCAAAATATATCCATGACTCACGCTTTTCATTCCCCTTTCATCAAGATCAGGCTGAATAAGTTTCATCACAGAAGCTCACAACAAGTCCGTGAGTTTCATTTTCTTCTCCGCGGCTTTCTGCAAAACAACACTCCTGTTTTGTTCTTTGCTGACAGCCAGACTGCTACTAAGAGGAAGGCGTTGCGGGGAAGGGTGCCCCCCATTTTGGGTAGCACAGATAGTGTAAGGCATTTGGGGTCAAACAGCATGATTCGTTGCCTGTTTTACCCTAGAAGGCTTGGAGTGTTGGAGACCAACGAATAATGTCACACATACCTCCAAAATACCGTCCCCACACCGTCAAACTTGACGACGCTCCTCATCCAACAAAGATTGGACGACTCAATGCAGGGCCGTGAGGCGTACAGGCAACTGGTAAACTATTATGTTTCTGGTTACTATGCTCAAACGTGATCCTTTGGGTGGGAAGTGTGGTGGGGTTTATCATTCCTGGGCCAGAACGATTGAATTTTGTGTTCCAAAGACAAGTGCAGGAATGAGATGAGGCAGGTTTGGAAGTTGGACCATGAACACCCAGTTGTACAAATTTCAACCAAGGAAGCATGATCGCAGGGGAAGGTTCAAACCAGCTCACACACAAACGGTTGCCGATGCCTGTCGCGGACGCAGACAACCCCTGCAGAGGAGCAGAGCAGATCCCGTGTGACATATTGCATGACCCCAGCAAGAGGTGTACCCTACAGAATGTTCGAGGCGACGTCACAGCCAGCCCAAAGTCCCGCAGCTAAGCGCTAAAGCACGTTGTGGCCACCGGAAGGGGCAAGCAAGGCCCCAAGCATTGCCTTCCGAAATCGGACCGACTTCCGCGGGGTGCAGCACCCCCACCATGGCTGCTCCATTCGCAGGTCAGCGTCGGCCTGATTGAGTCGGCCCTTCGAGTTCGTGCGCCAAGCTTGGTGGGCTTCATGAGAGCCGTGAGTAGGCCCCGAAGATGCAGAACAAGGGTGAATCGGTGACACGGTGCGTTTACAGTAGCCCCATGGGCCGCTGGAGTTTGGATGGTGTTATGGGTGACTTGGGGACATTGTAACATTCCGGGTACTGGACCATGAGAAGGGCGCAAGCGAGATCCGATACAGAACGGGGAATAGAACAATGCGCAGGAGAACAAGGCGATTGTGATCCCAAGTCCACGCACAAAAAAGCGCATTCCGTTTCACGGGCCGGACGGCCTGTTGTCCTAATTCGTGGCCTTGCAGGGGAGGATGTGGATGCTAGGCATTTTACTTTGGACTGGTGCAAGCGCAAGAGCGCAAGGGATTTAGCAGGCTGTGTGTCGCGTGTTCTTGAAAATTCTGCGGCGTGACGGTGCTAGAATCGAATCTGGGCACAAATTTCCACCTGGCATGGCAACAATAATAGGAATGGAACAGCCAAATGGCCTGGTTCGTGGTCCTTGTCTCAATGGCAGTGATGCGAAGTGATTGTATACATCCGCATAAGTTCGGATTATTGTAGCCGGTCCATTGTTCTTTGCTTTTGCCGCTCGGCGCACCTTTTTGAGGTACAAACAATTATTTGTTGGCCTGGCCGACTGTGCACCTGTGCACCCAAATCGGCGTTAGGGGATGGCAGGGGCACAAATTTCCACGGGTTTATTTCAAGAAAATGAAGATCCACAAATCACCCATTGTGGTACTGGATGACTGCGGTTGGAAGAAATTGATTTGGAGGTGTATTTTCACAAAAATGGTGCATTGTGCTGTCTCCAAGAAAATCCTCCCCTCCAGCATTCGCTGGGTGGCCCTGGCAGCAAAAAGAGCGGAAAGAGAGCACAGCAGATGGTCATAGTGAGGAACCACATTGGCGTGGATTGTGAAGTTAATAGCGCACGGGTTTCCCCCAATGGATGTGCAACTCAACCTTGAGACATCTTGAGACAAGATCAGTTCCGGAACCGGATGCTGTTTGCAGGTCCTGTGAACCCCCGGCCGGCAGTTCCAATGAACCGCTCGGGGCCCGGGAGGAAGAATTGATGAACTCACGGTGGACAGTCTCAACACCATCCCGGCATCGAATGCCGATGGTGTAGAGATCGAATTGCACACCACCAGGAGTCACTAATTTTGGCCGTTAAGTGAGTGGATAATGGGCACCCGGGCACCCCAGTCCTCCAAGTTCGGCACCCCTTGGGAACTCCTGTTCTAGAGTTATTGAATCACCTGAATTACCTGCCTATCGATTTTGAGGACCGGTCGACGACTTAAGCGTCACACCGATGGACGCAGTTCCACGCATTTGCCCGGAAGAGGCCAGCTACACTGAAGAGGCTGATTGGATCCGGGATTGCAGGGGAAAAGGGTCAGTCAGAGCCTAGCAGTAGATGAATTCATATTCCAACGATCGACGGTGGGCAAAACTGACCAAAGGAACCGAACTGAACAGACCAATTACCCAATGTTGCCAACCCACAGGCTCCATGTGTGGAATTACCCTAATGTAGGCAAATATTTCCTACATGGCTGTTTGGGTAGATGA